CCTGCACACCCGCTCTGCAGAAAGGGCTTCACACCCTCGTACAAGCACCCGTGGCAAACCAGCAAGGCCCACTTTCCTCTTGGGTGTATCACGGCGTGATTCTGGGAAGACAAAGCTCATCTAAAGCTTCTCTTTCCCATTTACAACAGGAGTGGTACCCGCAGCCCTGATGCTCCGAGACCGTTGCAGTAACTCTTCCTCCTACTTTACCTTGCATAATCCTTAAACTCAAGCCGTGCTGAGATGCTCCAACATCGCATCCAGCACCCAGCTGCGCTCCCACACCAGACTGGGACCTTGTACCCGGCTCTACCACTGACTCATGGTGGAAATCTCCGTGCCTCAGTGTACCCAACTGTAAGGTAACTGTAGAGCTCACAGAGGGGCTGTAAGGCTCATCTCTGGTTCTGGAAAGCCAGTGGAGATCCCTCGGCTACGGGCTCTAACGGAGGTGGGATGTACTGTCATCGCTGGGATGCAGCATCACCACCACCCACATCCCAAGGCGGGTGACCTGGAGATGCGCGGGCAGAGGATGCCAGCCTGCCGCTCCCTGCCTGTCGGAAGGGAAACTCGCCTCGAATCCTCATTCCCCTGCTCTCATCCGACTGCAAGCAGCTTTTCTCGCCACGCTGGAGCCCTTCAAGCCTTGGGCAATTCTCAGGCGTGTTACCGTACAAAATAAAACCCTTTTCAGTAGCGAGGAGCCAGAAATGATTGTGGAGAGGAAAGAGATGAACTCCTGCACTGCCCGATAACCCTGGCACGCGGGTGGCCGTCGGCAGCATCCGTGCCTCCCAGGACACCGCGGCAAGAGATGCTGCACCTCTTCCCCCACCGCTTTCCTTGCAACTGCACTGCAATTTGTGCTAACCTAGAAAGGTCCCTCGAGTTTAAGGTGGCTCTTAGCGGAGGCATTTTGAGACAGTTGCTTTCTGGGGAAAGCATTCCTTAAAATACAGCTCTTTCCTTCTGCCTCACCCCCAGCTTTTGACATTTTAGAGCTCCAGAAAAAATAAAATGTTTCAAAAATCTAATTTTCAGCTTTGGAGGTACAAAACCTAGAGGCAGGGTGCGGGTAGGAAGAGCTGGTTTCCAAGCGCCCAGGCGAGAGATGAAAAGAGCAGCAGCGGCTGCGTACAAGGCACTTTTCCGAGGGTGAGATTCGTCTCTGGAGTGGGAAGCGACTCTCGCACCCTCCGCGACAAAATCTGCTCGCTGCCGATCGTTCAGCCCAGGAACCAGACCCCTGGGGTCGCAGGATGATGGGCTGAGTATTATTTTGCTGGCAGTGCTTGCCTGCTCTCCAGCTCCCGGGACTCTAGTGGCTTCTCCCCCCCCTGCCTCCCTCTGGGAATTTCACATGGAAATGGCTGTCGGGAGTGACAACGTTAGGACTGGATTACCATGGGCATCCATTCCCTGCTGCTGCAAAACAAAGGGCAGGATACTCCGTTACACCCTTGCATTACACCTTCGAGATGGGGGGGGAAGCAAAATGCTGCTCCGACAGCGAGAAAGAGCAGCAGTTGCTGGGCTCCAGATTTCCCCAGTCTAGAAAAAAATCAGTGCTGGGCTTTTTTTTTTAGCAGAGAAAGGAATTCCGATTGCCCATATCTGACACAGGGAGGATCTGCTGGGTTTAGGTGAAATTTTTTGTTTTGAGTAGGGAAAAAGGGAAGTTTGGAAGCAAAGGGGGAAAGTGGTGCAGAGCCCATGGGGCAGCACCGACAGGGTGAAAACAAAATCAGCAGCTCAGGTGGGACCAGCGAGGTACCCGCTCGCTGCTGCCGGGATGGAGACAGGGGCAAATTAAAGCAATTAAACTAGGGAGGTACATGGAGCTGTAAGGCTTTTTAAGGCTGCTCTCTTTAGGCAGATGAAATATAGTCATCTCCTGGAAAAAACTACTTGACATTTCTCCAAAGGAGGGCAAGCTGCAAGAGGGAGTTGTCTAACACTGGCGATACGAAAGGGACTGCAGTCTTCATCTGTCCTTGGCAGTCCGAACGCTGCTCTCTCCATCTCCGACTCTCACACTGGTGGCCCACGTGGGAAAACATCGAGGGCAGGGATGCTATCGGAGGGAGAACTGCTCGGGAGGAGCACACCCGTCTCCGCTTTGCCTTCTGGTGTGCATGTGGAGAGATGCTGTCCTGATTAAAAAAAAATCTGGCAGTGTCACCCCTTGCTCCCCTGGGATGCGCATCATGGCCACGAACCAGGTGTAACCATTAACGCTGCCATAAAATGAGCTCTTCATTCCACTCACATCGCACTAGCGAAGGCAAAATGTCCTCAACGGGCTTCAGTCCGAGGACAAAGCCCTTCAGGCCATGCCTGCTGTCTTGCCACCAAAGAGAGACGGTTCAGGCAGATGAGACACGGTGCAGGACAGACAGATGGAGCAACAAGAGAGGAAAGACCTCCGAGGAAGACAAGGCTGTGGGTAAGCAGCACGATCCCGCAGCAGCCCGGGAGGAGCAGCCTGGGATGAGAGGGGCATGTCGCAACCCAGAGGGGCTGCAGAAATCCACCTGGGATTAGCTGAGAGTGATGGAGCCACTAACGAGGATCTTGGAGAGGTCACAGAGAACGGCTCAGATTTCAGATGACCAGAAGACGACACACATTATCTGCCTTTAAAAATGAAACTCAGGAAAACCACCGAAACAAACAAGCCATCTCTGTGAACGCACGCAGAAAATAACACAGGGTAAGAACCACCCGACATGGGCTGGGACCTGGGTGGTGGGCGGATAGGAGAGCAGCAAATGGGACCCGTCTTGACTTAGCAAGGCTTCAACGATACCTATCAGGAGATGCTCGCCGGTGTCCGTGGGCTGTGCCGAGACCTCTGCGGGGCCGGGCTTCCTCGCACGGACACGGGGTACGCTTGCTCGGTCTGCTGAGTTTAACTCCGACGAAGGAGAAGTCACAAACTCTTTGGAGAGCAAGGCTTGAACTCAAAATGGTGTTGAGGCATTGAAGAAAGAGCTGGAACTATTGCAAGAGGCAACTCGTCAAGGATTACGGAATAGCACCGAGCTCGAGAATAATCAAATGAGCAAAATAACCCCAAGAATTAGGAAATTCTTCAGAGGAGGATCTGATGGCGGAAGTGAAACCCAAGCTGAAGGTGAGTGGGCAGTGCCAGGCTGTGGTGGGGTGTCTGATGTCCCCTCCGAAGCCTGTGGGCATGTCCCTGTGGTGACACGGGCAAAACCAGGGGAAGCCTGGAAGACGGTGACAAAAATGTTCACAACTCCAGAAAACACGACCTTTGATGGAAGCTTGAAATACATGGATCTGCTTAGTCTAGAGGAGAGAGGACTGAGAGGAAACAAGATAGTGGCCCCCCAAAATGTGAACGATATTGGGAAAGGGCTGGTACCAGAGCGGGACAGAGTGGGATGGGGACCTGGGAGGGACGACCTATACCAGGCATTGGCAGAGCTGCCCCAGGACCCCCACAAACAAGGGCTCAGGGAAAAGCAGAGGGGCATGTCTGCAGCCTGCCCCATGCCCCGGCAGCCCCCAGGGCTCAGAGGTCTGGGATGCAAAACCTCACTCGACGGAACGCCGGGAAGCAGCGCCCGCAGGCAGCCCGCTGTTCAGGCTGGCTTTACATGGGCACCGCCAGCCCAGGCAGTGCCGAGCTATCACTTTTCAGCTGGAAATAGCACCGGCATGAACCCTCAGCTGGGGAGCAGAGCGCTTGTGAGTCCAGACTGCGGTTAGCTATCAAAGACAACTAAAGAAAGATATTCCACACATAGGGGTTTTTCCCCCCCCTCTTTTTTTTTTTTTTTTTTTTTTTTTTTTTTTTTTTTTTCCCAAGGATTAAATCAACTCAACAGCCCCCTTTACAACTTCCCTTTTGATGTGTTCAGACTCATTAAAGTTTCATTTCTTTCTCTGTTTTCCCCGGGGGAGGAAGGGGAACGTACACAAAAGTTTACTTCAGAAGCGGGGTCGGCAGCTGCAGCAGCAGCTGCTGTTGCTGTGGGACAAGCGGAGCCTCCGCCGGCCTCCGTGCCTTACCCAAATCCCTCGGCAAAACGCGTCCTCCCGCAGCCGCCCCGCTCCCACGCACAGCCCCAGCACCACACCGGCACGATGCTTTTGCGAGGGTTTTTGCAGGATGCGCGCCCAGGGTCGCATGCCACAAAGGGAGCACGAGAGCTGCAAAGCTCCTGCAAACCCTGCAAGTTTTCGGGTCCCACCCTGCGAGTTTTGGGGTCCCTTTCCAACCTGCCCGCTTCCACCCACCGGCAGCACCAGCCTTTCCCCCCACGGCTTCGGCCATCGCCCTGGGATAATCCCTGCACATGGTGAAGTTTCTTTTCTGCCCGAGCAGCTGTTTAAGTGTCTATTTTAAAACTCAGTTCCCTATTTTAAAATAGCTAATGAGACACCGATCTAGGCCGATAGACATCGTCTCTACAAGATCCAGGAGATGCCTGTCTATTCGCTGGGCTCCTTTTCCCAAGCCCCGAATCTCAGCATGCCCATCACGTTTCCAATACGCACGAACAGCTTGCATGGTAAAGAGGGAAGTTTTTAATTTAAGGGCCAACTCCTGCACCCCTGCCGTGAAATACCAACGGCACAGCCACGTGCTTCTAGATGGAGATGCATCAACCAGCCAGGCAGAGGCTGACGTTCTGGGTGATTTTCTGTTGGTATTTTTTTATCCTCCCTTTGATTTTATCAGAACTTTTTAAAATTCCCCGAGCAAAAGCAAACAAGGAGCTGGCCTGCCTGGCACGGCTCCTCGCCACTGCCCGAGAAAAGCCAGGCGCACCCAAGAGGGACTTTCAGAAATCAACTTTCAGAAATCAACCGTGGCAGGGTGCGGTGGGATGTCCCCGTGCATCCCCTTTACGCGCTCTCCGAGATGGGGTGCACCCCACCGAGGCAGAAAGGACCCCACGGAGAGGTCCAGCCCTAGGGGATCCTGCAGAAGGGACCCCACGGAGGGGACCCCGCTTGCTTACCTGACCACGGGCTCGGGGATGGCCTCGGCGCTCGCCGGCACCTGGACGCCCTTCTCCCACTCCTGCCTCCAGGGATCGGCCAGGACGTAGTACTCGTCGGGGCTCAGCTGGAAGGAGTCGGGGATCTTCATGGCCGTTATCAGATCCGTCCGGAAAACCTGCGCCGGTTTCCAAAAAAAAAAAACAAAATCCAAGAGGCAGGGTGAAGGGGACTGGCAGAGGCTGGGTGCACGCGCGGTCGGGGAGGGGGCCCTGGGGAATCGGTCCCCAAGGGACAGCGCGGCGAGTGCCTGCGCCCCCAACGGTACGGCTTCAGGGTGGTGTTTTATGTCACCTCCAGGGTGAGATTTGGGCAGGAGAAGAAGCCACGCAGGCAGGGATGGACTCTCCTGCTTGGCCAGGCAGCGCCGAGAGTCCGAGCCCCTGCGGCTGCAAGCCCTGCGAGGTGCCCCAGCCCGGGCAGACGTGAAATCCAGCCGCAGGGTGCAAGCCTGGCCGAGACATACACCAGAAAAGTAGTATTAAACTAAAGAAACAACAGGCTGCTTTCTCTTAGGGGATCAATGTTTTCAACACAGCCACACGAATATCTACTCCAAACACCGAGGGGTGTACAGCGACTGGGGGCTTCTCCACGTTCAGCCTTACTAGGAGAAATAATGTTCTTGACATGAATGAAGCTGGGGGAAACACAGAGCCACCTCACTGCCCCGAGCAACTCTGTGTCCCCATCATGTCACCTCACTGCCCCGAGCAACTCTGTGTCCCCATCATGTCACCTCACTGCCCCGAGCGCGGACAGCCAAAAACTGAAGGTATCCATCAGGGCTCGATTGCTCCAGTGGCGACTGCACTCCAAGGAGCAAAAGGCAAAATAAAGCTAGGCTGGGTTGCGCTAGAGCTAGAAAATATCCAACTAAAAGGTGATCTAGGTGCCTGCTTAGACATCCACAGCCAAACACACAGAGATTTTTCCTGACCCAATACATCTCCTGTGAGATCGACACTGGACCCCTCCTCTATGACAATCCTCCAGCCCCTCAGACAGTAAATGGGGTCATTCTCCATCTCACTTCTGGCCCTGCAGAGTCTTCCCCCAATACACCACAATGAAAAACTCATTCCAAAAAAATCCCTCACGGTAAATAAGGTATTCCTTCCAGAGGGCTGCCTGACAGCAATGACTCGAGCAATCCTGCCTCTTGCAGCATAAAAATAAATTGTCAATGAAAATGGATGATGTCTCCTCTCTACCATCTGCTATTAGCTGAAATGATAACCGATGGTGCCAGCAATCATGCCTGGACACCATCTCGGTCCATCCACTGCACCCCTGCTACTTCTGTGTTACCTTCTGGGGGGCCAAGATGGATCAGGTGTTTTCTTCAGATGCTGTTTATCTGTTCACAGAATCTATTCTCCAAATGAGTATTGCTTTGTCAGAAGCACAGTAAATGATACAATATGGTTTTACACTTTCGATATACAGTTAACATGCTTTGGAGAGTATTTGGGAAACCAAATCGGCTGAGATGCAGGAAACTAGACATTAACTAAGACCACTGAGACCAGTATTTAGGTCAGTTTGTTTAATCCTCAGAGTCTCAGCTGCTAACCCAATTAGAGTTAAATACAATACATAAACAACCTTTTCTATGTTGGGACCTCTCTGAATTTTACTGGCACTTTCCTCCTGATGCATCTGCTTGGAGACATTTTTGACTGCATCTATATAAACCTGATTTGAGTTGGCCAGACACAGTCTCAGCACATCCTTCAATAAACATAATTAACAGCCTACATATTACAGTCAGAATTAGGCTCAGTTTGAGAAAGATCGGCTTCCTTTAAGTCTCCATGTGCTACAAATGCACGGTTATGGATGCCACAGTAACCTTTTACTGTGTTGCCAGTGTGAGAAATTAAAAAGAAAAAATTAAGAAAAATGTTAATCAAACACGAGAAGGGATACGTGAGGTGTCCAAGTCCTTCCAGTGCCTGCACACCAAAACAAGCGAAGTAACCCCGCTTTACCTTGTTTTCTAAAATACAGTGTACAAACACACCCCCTTCTTGACACCCGCCCATTGCCAGGATCACAACTCGGGCAGACGACATCTCCGTTACCCAGTGCTGGTGCCCACCTCCGATGAGGACAACGCAAACCCGAGCGAACCTCCCCACCCCGGACCGCTCTGCTTTGGGCGACGAGATGCTCCCCCCGTGCCTGGACCACGCGCGGTCGAGGGCAGCGTCGGGGGCCGGTGCCACCTCCCTGCTCCGGCCACCTACACCGGGGCAGGAGCGTGGCAGCACTTCTACGCTGCTCCATTTGCAAAACCGTTATAGAAAACGCCGTTTTGGAGACACTCGGCCTTGGGATTCGTGGGAAAAGCCAGGTAGGAATGGTTTCCAAAGGTGCTGGGCACCCAGCAGCTTTTCAAAACTCCCCAGACCGGACCCTGCTGACACGTAAGTGCCCTCCACCTCCCTCTCCGCCAACTCAGCTGCATCCCGAGGACACCCATTTCAATGCCGAGGCTGAACATGCCATCAGGAGCAGGACATCACCATTTCATGGCATGCAAATCTAAACAACTCCTCCAGGAACCCACCCAGCACGGTGCCGGCAGCACAGGGCAGCGGGCACGATCACGCTCCTGCCGCAGGGCACGACCAGCAAAAGGGGACGTGGGACTACCCCTTCCAGGGCAACTGGCCCCCAGAAAAGTCCAGCCGTGTCGTTAACCTGCCCTGAGCAGTCTGCCTCCCCTCGGGGGGCTGGCACCCACCGCAGCAACACCCTTTCCAGAGCCTTACCCCAAACAAGAATCCCCGTTTTCTTTTGCAAAGTCAGCACCGGGCGACAGCTTGAGAGGGGACGGGCCCCTTCGCTTCGAGGTTAACACCAGGGGTGGGCAACCACGGCGGATTTATGTCAACGCCTGGCCCATCACCTTCCTCCTACCGATGAAGAGGAGCCTGCACCGTGTCCTGGAACCAGTCCGGGCAGGAGCTGGCAGCACCACTGGGGAGCCCTGGTCCCCCCCAGGGCTGCCGTCCATGGGCAGGAGGTAGAACGGCTCCATCCGATCCTCGTGTCAGAAACTAAACATGTTTTGCTTTGCTGATAATTATTACTTAGGTCATTTCTTTAGTACACTCAGCTTTTTGCTGGGGTCATGGCTTTGGTGGTTCAGGCGTCCAGGCAGCATCCCACGGGCAGCTGGCCGTGCATCCCACACCACTCACCGCTGCTCCGAACCAGCGGGACCAGCCTCACCAACGCTTCGCAACATCCTCAGCAGATGCAAAACCCTCCGGCAATCCGCTGCGCGTACCTCACAGCCTCCGCGTTGGAAAACGCAGCAACGGCATCAGCCCTCGGTGTAATTTCTCCCCTCTGCATGGTGTGGATCCCAGGCTCGTGTTTTCCTGCATTAAGTCTTCCCCAAATTCATCCCCTCTGGCTCTTCAGCTCACATCGGCGTAGAAGCTTAGTTTTAATTTTAAGCCAAATAAGCACGATTGTATCTATTTCCCTGAAGATGATAAGACACGTCGCAGGCTGGATTTGCAATCTCGCTACTTCATTTATTTAGTCCTTCTTGGAAAACAGATAAGCTCGCCCATCCAAAGGCAGCACGCACGCACGCACTTTATCACAGCGATGCCTCTGTCTTTTCATGAAGAACTGGAAATGCTCAAATTATTAACTATCAAAGCAGAACACTTTAGAAATGATAGAACGGCACAGAAATTGTAAAGGAAAGTAGATCAGTTGTCTGGAAATCTCCCAACAGCTAATACGCTCAAATTGTAATCTAAATGTCTTTTTGTTTTGAATTGTCTGGGATTAGGGTTGGCAAAAGACTCAATTATTCTACTCAAACTCTTCTGAATTATTTATGAAAACCAAATAAAGGATAAATTGGGCACTGATGAACCGAGGACCTGGCGGTGAAGAGAAAGTTGGGTACCACAAAACAAGCAATTTTCCCTCAATAGGAGTGTTTACTGTTTCTCCCCGGCCGCAGGAGCTGACAAATTGTCTCCGAGGCCAGGCTGCTCCGCTCCCCGCTCCCCCCGCCACCGCCGCAGCCCTGGCCAGGCTCCGTCCTCCCCTTCCAGCCCGGCAGTGGGATCCAGTTTATTGCCTATTGATCTGCCGGCAACGGGGAAGGCCAAACCGAGACGTTCGCTTTATTACCTCTGCTTGCTCGGGAACCTCAGGCAGGTTTCAGCGATGCTCAAGAGATGCATCGCACCGATGCCCAGGGGCCAGCCTCACCCTTCGCTATGGTCAGCTTTAAAGATGGGGAAAAAGAACGTGAAATTGCAAACTCCCAAGACATTTTTGCCTTCGTACTGCCAAGCGAGAGGGACCAGGAGTCGGGGTCGGCGTGCTCGTGCAGCCTCGCACCCCAGGCAGAAGAAAGGCACAGGGAGAAACTCTGTCTCTTGGTCCCCACTGATCCCACAGCCACAAGGATGAGCCAAGGAGAGTGTTTCACGGCAGGGCAGAAGGAAAAGGCAAAAAGAAGGGAGGTGCCCAATGATCCAGGAGCTGCAGCAGGAAGGTGAATCTGGCAGCTCCGGCCGGGGGCTGCACCTCTCGCTCCCCATTGCCAGCCCTGGGCACCCACGGCAAGACCACCCCCGGACCCCGCCACGGGTCCCGCTGCACCCACCACCGCCTTCCCACGCTGCCTACCGAGCACCAGATTATAACATGCAAAATGCAGGATATTACAGTGATGGATAAAGAGTAAGAATGGATAAAAATACTCCTGAAGATACCATTCCTCAGCACAAGCGTACCCAACGAGGCACGAGCTGCAAACCATCGAGTACCGTTTGAAAGCGGCAATCGCTGCAGCGGCTTCCATCACCTCCACTGCCATTCCCAAAGCAACCCAATGGCCTCACGTCTCGCCTTCCCAGCCAGCTTCCCCTGCTCACATCCATGTCGCTCATACACCAGGCGGCAGGTTAATTCCCAGTGTGATCACACCGACCTCCCCCCCAGCAGCTCAGGCCACCAACACAGAGCTCCTGCTGCTCCAGCTTACCACCAGCTGTGTGGAGAAGCTGCCTGACACAGTCCCATCCACATCTTTTTGTGTAGGAAACAACTTCTAGGCAGTTCTTGCTCCCT